ACTTCCTGAAGGGACGTAGCAGTTTTAAAAAATTATAAGTAGATTACAATAAATGCTGACAAACTGTTGTAGAATGGTTTTCACAGTGGAGGCTTGTATTTCACTAAGTCGGTCCTAAAAGGTTCGACGTACAAAACGTTAGGAACTTGAAATAATAGTTAATGACGCAGCAATCTAGTTGTGGTGGTTGATACTTTAATGTCCGACATCGACTGACACACCAACTCCACTGATCCCCCTGGCGACTGCTACTACTACTACTTATCTGTGGGAGAGTCTATTAACAATAGAATAGGTATGTTCCGGTATAACGCAAATATAGATCAATATGAGTTTCATTGAATGCGACAGACAAGGACGTTTTTTATTATGCTTTTTTTTCTAATGTTCTTACAGTTTACCTTTTATGGGGACTAAAACAATGTAGAAACTGTCCACAGAGATTATTTTCTTAGGGGCTTTCGACAAGTTCATTAGCTATTTTCATTGGGTTCATTGTTAGTATGTTTTCCTACGATCTAGGTTGTATTGTGTAGAAGTAATAGTAATTCCAAAGTGTGCTGGATGAGAGTAGTAGTACTCCCATGTTGGTTTATCTTTAAAATACCGTCAACTCGTTCTTTCCGTTCTCAAATTAGGTATGGTTGAGACTTGGCTTAAATCGTTTTATATAAAGCGCTTCAATTATCTTAAGGCGTCTTTTAAAAGTAGGTTTTCTTAGAATTACAGTAATAAGGAATGTATCAAGAGTACTCAGACCCCATATTAATATACTGTATTCTATCCTTGGGCGTTAACACACCCCTGTGCTCTTACAGGGATAGTAAGTATCGTCGTTTCATATATTATTCCATGTTTCTTTTACATGTTGCTGTAATACAAGGGGTGTAGGTGAGATAACAAAACGAGCTAAGCGTCGTCACATCATGTTCCGTTCATATCCGAAGGGGCGCAGGTGTGGTGATTGTGACAACTGGGAAAGTTGTCGAACATCTTAAAGAGCATGTGGAGTAACAAGACGGGTGTTTATGGAGCTGGAACAACACGTCGATTTCCTGCTTTCAGAAATATCAACCAAACGAGCTGAATAATGATCTGGACGTACACAGCGCTGTTCAACATACAGACCATATCTTCCCTACCAAAGGCGAAAGCGCAAAAGTTGTAACTAAATGGCACTCGACTCCACAATGACAGGCGTTGTAGGTGAACAACGCGCACACAAATGACATTCCCTTGCATGAAGACAGAACTTGCTTTTTACTATTTAAATACCCCACAAAATGTAAACAATGTACCCAAAATAGAGGCCGACATTCAAAGAATGGAGTATATGATCGTCAAATAGTCTTAAACATCTTAAACAACACGTTCAGTGTGCCGCTGAAACCATCGTCATCACAATTTTGACCTGGAAAATGGTGTTTTAATAAAAAGTGAATATAATTTAATCAGACGAAGATACAAGGTTGGCTAGAAAGTCTTGACTCACACTTGAAGCGGAAAGAAAACAACAACTCTTGATCTCGGTCTGGTGGAATTTCCAAGGAGTACTGCGTTTCGAGCTTGTCCAACACATCGCGCCATCAACGCTAAACTTTATTACCAGCAGCTAGACTGCGTGTACAACAAACAAAAGAAGGAATATCTTGCTTTGGTCAATCGAGGCTGGGCTTTGTTTCAGGTAGACGAATAAAGTTCAAACGGATGGACTGTGTTGAGATTCTTCCACATCCACTATTCAGTCCCGATGCTGCAACTATTCCTATTCCAATTCCACGCAATGGCACACTTCCTCTGCGACCAGCGTTTCAAACCTTTGATGAAGTGAAGGAAGCTTGTTTCCAGGTTTTTTTTTTATTCAAAGCCAGCGGATTGGTATCTGGGACATATTCGGATGCAGGTTAATCGCTGACAGAAGATTGAGAATTATCGACTTCATTTTGAAGAATAAATGTTGGTGTTGCTCCATAAAATGTTTTTGTTTTCTTTCCGCTTCCTAAGTTAGTCAGGACCTACATAAAAAAGAACTATTAGTTATACGACCTTGACTATTAATATACGATCGTGTAATTATAATATATCCTTTTTCACATTAAATTAATACTGAAACAATGCGACTATTTAAATAATAATAATAACAATAATAATAATAACAATAATAATAATGAAAATATAATTCCTTCGAAGGCGGTAAACTAACGAAAACTACAGATTTAGACCTTGATATCAACAAGATTAAGGAATTAGACCAAGATGGTACATACAAATACTTAGGAATTAATGAAGGAGATGGAATACTGTTGAAACTTGACTTATGCATGGAATAATAATGCAACACAAAATGTACTTAGAACAAAATGTATTGAAACAAGAAAGTGTACACAATATTTACATATACTCTTTTGTATATTCCTGGTAAGACCGTTCCTGGAGAATGTGTTGACAGAGTCGCAGTCGGGAAGAGTCTCTGGTTGAATCACTTGATTCTTCCCGGTACCAACCATATTTATATGGTCGGTACTCCACTATGCAAATTAGGTGGATCCTACCACAACAAATACAAAATTCAATCATGAAGATCCGAAAAGAATATTATAGGAGAGTTCGTTTGATAATAGAAAGCGAACTAAACTACAACACCTTAGCTATACTTTTAATAATATACAGCTTCAGCATTATTAAATGGAAGTTGAATGACATTAAAAAAATTGGACGCCAAGACCAAAAAAATGCTTACTCAAATGAGGACGCACCACCCGAAATCAGATTTTGATAGGTTGTATATACCACGAGTTTTAAGAGGCCGAGGTCTAATACACTTGAATTAACTCTAAAAAAATACAACAATCTGACTGGAAGCCTACCTCATAAAAACCAATGACCCTCTTCTACAAATAGTAAAACACCAAATCCACTCCATCGACAAAGAAGCTGCACTCTTCAAAAAACAGCTTAATATACCTGAAATCCTAACAGCAAAAAACGAAGTGAATACCATCTACACCAAGCGAGTAAAGTAGAAAGCAAATCAACTTGGCCAAATAAAATTACAACAAAACTGGGACGACACAGTATTGCATGAAAAATACATAAAAAGAACGAAAAAATCGAATGTGGAATAATAGAAAATACATCAGTGGCTGAGGAGCACCGGGCTGAAAGCTGAGATAAAAGGCTTAATTATTGCAGTTCAAGACCAAAGCGTCGCAACCATATCCTATCACTGTTACATGATCACGGATGGAACTAACCCGAAATGCAGAATCTGCGGAAAATATGATATTGTTATTATCTTGTTTATTATTTTCGTGCTATAATATATTGGTGATTTCCAAGAATTTTCCTGTATTATGAAGATGGGCAGGAATGTAGTTTTCGAAGTTATGCAATAGAACTTGTATCCGACAAATGAAGTGTACGACGTCTTGATAATGTTGTGGTCGTTCGCGCGGGTTTTTAAAAGAAAGAAAGAAAACAGAAGAATGGGAATAGAAAGAAAGAAAGAAAGAAAAGAAAGAAAGAAAGAAAAAGAAAGAAAGAAAACGGATGAATCGAAAACGAAATAAAGAAAAAAGAAAGACATAAATAAAGAAAGCAGATAAATGGGAAAAGAAAGAAACAAACAAAGAAAACAAAGAAGATGAATGGGAAAAGAAAGAAAGACAGAAGGAAAGAAAACAGATTTGTGGGATAAAAAAAGAAAAAGAAAGAAAGGAAGAAAGAAACAAAGTCACAAATAAACAAAGAAAACAGATGAATGGGAAAAGAAAGAAAGAAAGAAAGAAAGAAAGAAATAGGAAAAGAAAAAGAAAGAAAACAGACGGTATTAAGAAATTAAGAAAATTTTCACAAATTTACAAAGAAAGAAAGAAAGAAAGAAGGAGGTACAAAAACAGATGATTGGAAAAAGAAAAAAGAAAGTGAAATGGGAAATAAAAGAGGAAAATAAAGAAAATAGAAGGTAACAAAGAAATTAGGAAAAATCGTCCAAATTTAGAAAGGAAGGAAAGAAGGAAGTAAGGACAGAAAGAAGGAAGGAAACAGCGCTTAGGATAACAGCAACGCGTTGGTCTTCGCCGTTCAACTACCGTATATTCGTCGCCCTTACTTGGCGAAGCAACGGCCAATGTCTTGCGAAGAAGAGTCGGCGAAAACGTAGAATAAAAAGGAAAAAAAAAGCGGAAAAGATAGTGATATTCGATATTTGTTTATGAATCACAGCACGGCTCATCTTCCCCGGCCAGCCAGGGTGCAGAAGAGGAGGAACGAGTAGGGGTCTCGTCTGCTCCAAATGCTTTGACTATATTGGTAATGTACATGTGCAGTTATGAAAGCCAGGAGGTGGAGGATTCGTATCTCATTTCACATGAAGCAACGCTTCAGATGTTTATTCAATGTAATTTTATTATATCACCGACAAGTTCTGTTTCGGTTCTTGTGTTTCAACGAATTAAAGACATGTATACAGCCTTAATATGCGTGTGAGTGTGTGCACGTATTAGTGTGTCTATGTGACTCTTATACGGCTTTTTTCTATGAAATGGATTTTTAAAGCATATGAATGTAATTATGCTTGAACTTTGGTGAAATGTGACTTAACATGTCTTAACAACTTTGCTACTCCTAAGCACAATATATTAGATGCTTTTGGTGGGCAAAGAAACCATAAGTGAGGCAGAGGACAACGTATCGATGACAGAGACTGAAAGAAAAACAACAAGAACACCTAGACAAGTACTAAAGGAAAGCGGGAAGAATGGTCTATCAATTTTAAAAAGATAATTCATGGTTTCTACTAAGAGCTAAAATCTAAGATGTAATCTCCGAATTAAAGACTTCAAAATAAAGCAAATAGCGAAATTTACCTATATAGGATTCTTTTAACAAATAATAGAAAGTGTGACACCGAAATCCGAAGGTGCATTGAAATGGCAAAAGTTGCTTTCAGAAAGCTAAACAAAGTATTAAGAAACAAGAAACAAAAAAACAATGACAAG